ACTATGGGACAGTCCTTTTGCCTATTCTAGGCTAGATAGCATACACGGGTTTTTCCGTATTATAGTACATATATTGTTTCCGTAGTTATCCAACTACGGAAAAAAGGTGGTTATCTGATTGAGTCTAGGTTGGCCTTTCTGCGGCATTGTGGGTTGTTACTCAACTCTCTAATCACATATAGAGAGGAGTTCTCTTGGAAGAGGTAGCCCGTCCGGTGGCCGGGTATGCAACGGCGCAAAGCCGTTGAGATGTTCATGTGGCCCGTTATCGGCACGGTCAAACATGCCGCGTGCTAACCGGGCCACGAAGTCGATGATGTTCTCGATCTTCAAGTCCGCCGCTATCACGTCGTTCCGGACGTAGCGACCTGCTCCGACGATCGTCCTCAATGTCAGATTCTGCTGGGCCTGTAGTCGCCGCCTCAGAGGGTCGCTCAGAAGTGCGTACCAGGCCGGTGCAGCGTAGGTGATGATAGTCCGGATATACATCTTGTATATCCGGAGCTTGGTTCTTATAGGCAGCTTGGATGCCAGGACCGGCAAGAGCGTCGCCCGCGCACATCGGGCCCGGCGGACGACGAAGTCGACGTGCGCGGTCATGCGCAGCGTCCTGTCGATCCTGCACCCAAGGTAGGTTACAGCCTTCTGGTACGCAATCTCCTGGCCGTTGAGGGTCAGCGGAGGTGGTAAATTCCTGAGACGGCGAGTGAGCAGAGCGGTCGTCTTACCAACGTTGATGACCATCCTCTACTCGTCCAGCCATGGTGGCAGCAGGTCCAGCAGACGCTGCACCTTGGCAGTGGCTATGTGGGCTCTTCTGGACGAGGTGAAATAGGCGCTATCGTCCGCGAATAGCGCCAGCTCAACGTCGTCCTCCCACTCTTGAAGCCTGCCTGCCAGTGTAGGTATGTCGTTGGTGTAAGCCGCGTACAGGACTGAAGACAAACAGCTGCCCTGTGGAACGCCGGCTTTAATGGATCTTGTTGCGGATTCGGCGTCCTCTACGCAGACGTAGAACTTCCTGTCTTCCAGGAAAGACGCTATTAGCCGCAATATAGCAGGAGGGACACTGGTCTGTTGTTCCAGTTTATATAATAATCCTACGTGCCACACCCGGTCGAACGCCTTCTCGATATCGAGAAAGACGCCCAACGATATGCGGCCACGATTGTACTCTGACGCAAGCAGGTGCAGCACTCTAGTCAGTTGTGTAACTGTGGAGTGACCCCTCCTGAATCCGTGCTGCTCCGCCCGAAGTTGGATGCACGGACGGAGACGTCTTAGCAGCAATCTTTCGAACAGTTTAGCTATATGTGGTAATAGCGTGATCGGCCTGTAGTTGGCAGCTCTACGCCTGTCCTTCCCGGGTTTCGGCAAGACGATGATTTTGCCTTTTTTTCCAGTCCTCCGGGAAGTGGGATGTCCGCAATATCCCATTGTAGAGTCGACCAAGCTCTACTATGACTCTATTGGGCAACTGTCGGAGTGCAGCGTTGGTAATCCCGTCGTGCCCCGGCGCCTTCCTCGGTTGCAGGCAGGTTACTGTCCTCCGCAATTCCGCGGGGGAGATGAACCAATCTCCTGCAAGAGGTGGCGCGGGCGACGACAGGAACTCCTGTACGCGACTTTCCTTCCGGGCATGAAGCTCCATGAACTCAGCACTTGCTGTGTTCGGCATAAATTACTCCTCGAAGTGCTCGACTAGGATATCCGCTCTGCCCTTGGCATCATAGCATCGTTTGCCCGTATTATCAGTCAGCGGGCAAACGGGAGGTTTGGATTTGGTCAACTGTCGGTTTAGTCTATAAAGCGACGCATCTTGCTCTTCCGCCTTCTGGATGCGCCGATCCCAGGCTTCACCTCTGAAGGCTTGGACTGAAACCGACAGTTCCTCCGTTAGGGTGTTCAGCTGTGTTTTGATCCTGGGGCAGCGAGTACGCGCCCAGAGCTTTCTCAGCGCTCTTTTTTCGCTTGATCTGCACGCATATCTCACGCGGCAGAAAATTATTATAAGTACGAGTATGTATACAATATATATTATAACAAAAATATTTTTATTTAATAACTATTATAACCAACGCGTGTATGTTCGTGTATGACGTCACCGCTAGAACGGGGGTGGCGGTGGGTGACTGAGGGGAAAGCAAGGTTAGCGCGGGGCAGAGATACTTATACTTATTGTCTAATTTAGCCCATCGTGATATGAGTGAAGTAAATAAACGACTTGCATATGCAGCGAAAAAAAAAAAGAAAAATATCTTTAAATACTACCCACTTTATATTAGGAAAGGAAAAGCTATTTGGGACAACCATGTTGTGGCTGACCATTTCATGAGCTTACTAAGTATAAGAATAAGTTTACTTCCCTGTATATCACGATCCGACAAACAGATGTCTGCAGTTGCTAGCCAGGCTCGGGCATCAGTGTCTGCATTTTCGGAGTGGAATTCAGGCAATCCAATATTCTTTGCGCCGAAACCAGCCATTCCCATTGATTGAGATATTGAGGGCATAGCAGCGTCTCGCATCATTTTTTTTTAATTCAGCGATTTAATATTGTATAAACATTCGTGTTTCAATAATTCCTTGACAAATTTAATGTTATTGCTATCTGACCACTTCGTAATAAAAAAAAATTGAACGCGATGAAAACCAGCAATCAACTTGATTCAGAATACTTATTAGGCATCAATAACATTGTAGTTTTAAGCGTTTAAATGTTTCAATTTTTATGGGCCAATATTACTCTGGTAAAGATAAAAATCGTTAAGAAAGTAGCATGTCGAAGAAATTAAAAATAATCCGCGAATTATGAAGTCTGCCAATAAGCACGGCGGAAACCACCTACCACCCACTTTACTCGTAAAACCCGCTTATAAAATATACATTATAGAATCCCCTTCAGGCTTTATTAAAATAAATCGGAATCGAGAAAATAAAAACTCGTTATACTTCTACGCAAGATATTAAAATTTAGTTTATCAAAAGACAACATCCTGAATACGAAACGCTGTAGAAAACTCCGCAGGTATTCCCTTTCTGGGCATTTTATAAAGATCAATAATTTTCATTTTGAAAAGTGTAAATTCTTTATCAATATGAAAAGTAATAGACCCACAGGTAATCAAAGAATGTTCTATTAGTCATAAAATTACACAACAAACTCAAGCCCCCAAGCACAAGTCCACACAAGCAGCATTTTTTTAATAAAATATACACGCATGACGTCGCTTTAAATCAAACAACGGAAGTAGTTCGCAAATTAAGCTTTTAGACAACGACTGGCGTACACAAAATTTAGACTCCAGCCATAAATTTAATTCTAAACTAAACCCAAGCTCTAATGCGTATTTTGGCATCCCTAATGTTGTTAATTGCGAGTTTATATCAGAGTAAACAAGGATACGGAAGCTTCGTGAATGAAACTTCCATTTTCTTTTACCTAAGAATATATTTGCAATACGGCACATTCTAGCACATCTATAATATCGCGTAGATTATGCATATGACAGCACACATCGAACTAATTTTGATGGATTCTGGTGGTAAAAGCAGTGGAGCTAAAATAATGGACATGTATATTCATTGTTATGAGCGTGTCTCCCGTGGAGGGGGGGGGGGCAGGAAACTGTTTAGAGAGGTATGTGATATTTGTATAGTTAGGTGCATGGGCCAATCAATAATAAGGACTCAACATTTGTTTAATTCCTCTGTGGCATGCGAAAATTAACATAGAAGGTGTCTGTTAGACTTCTCACCATTATGAATGACCCTTTTGTAATATTTAAATAAAATTAATTTTCAAATCATATGACGTACACTTACTAAATAATTGTCACGTCGAGACGTTCAACCTTTTCGTCTTATTTTTTTAAATTTATTTAACATATAATTAGTTAATTTAATAGCTCTCTTCCTTCCTAAAATGCAAAAAATTAAGTAATAAAAAACATTTCTCGCGTATTCTTATTTATGGGGATAAAACTACGGAATGTGACACCCGTCTGTACTCTACTTGTAGGCGTGCCTTCGACAAATGAGTCCTTAAAGCAGCCAAGAAATTTCATTAATTGCGATTTAAAATTATTTGTAATGTCCGTATCTACATTATCGAAATCAGTTACAGCCTTACCTACGTCACAAACATTAACAAGAGAAGGCTTTTCGATTATAGTAAGTTTGTCACTCGATATGTGTACGATAACCCAATAAATCGCATCCAATCAGAATATCATCACTCAGAAAATCATCAGTTATAACGTGAAATAAACTTTGTACATCATGACCACAAAGAGTAACACAAGATAAAACCTGTAAATCACACAATACGCTAGATTTTCCTACACCTATCAGAGTAACAATTGCATGTTGCATTTCACCATCAAGTTTGAGCGAGTTACTATTTTAAACTAGGGAACAATCAGCACCGGAATCAAATCAAAATGAAAACTGCTCACCAAATTGAGTGACCACCCGGTGACAGGTTTCACTCCGCATACGTCCACTCATTTTACTACGCTGGATGTGGCGGCAGTCTGGATGCTGCCGCTTGCAACTGGACATGTTTTGGAGCATCGTGACGTCACGTGACCCTCAGCACCACACTTGTAGCATGTCACGGAGATCCTCGTTATAGTCACGGCCGAGTTGGTGCGATCGGAATTCTGAGTTGTTTGCTCTTTGTCATGCGAACGGCTGAAACATTCAAAAAATCTATGGCCAAGTTTTCTACAAGCGTAACACTTTACATTTAGTAGAAGCAACACAACCTAGGACGTTTGATATCCTGCATATTATTTGCACTGGTATTTATATTATCTTGATAACTCTGCTTACGATATGAAAATGCCACAAGTTCACATTGCATCTCATTGCGGGTCTTTATAAAAAAAATATTTCGTTGCAACTGCATTTTCGGAGTGGAATTCAGGCAATCCAATATTCTTGTCCTAGATAGCCGGCGAATTGCGTAGCGCCTCCACAAGTAGTCGCATGTTATTTTACTGCGCCTCAAATAAAGCGCGTAAACCGTCGTTCGCCTCGATCCATTTATCAGCGTTTTGTGCCTGCATCGATCCCACTTCTGATGTCGGAGAAACACAATTCTCCTCGAAATGGTCATCGGTGACCACGGGTCTAGTGGGCGTCATTAGGGTTAAATGCGAGCACAAAACAAAGTATTCACTGTATCTGTACAATTTAATTAAAGTTTAACAATTTTGAATGTCACTAACGGAATTACTACTTTGCAATGCCATGCAATTTTAAATTAAAAACGTTTAATATAAACAAAGTACGAGCAGCAGGTTCGCGACACCGATCTCACGACTTCACCGTACGAACACCAAAAAAGGAATGCCTCTTCACCACGATCCACAAACACTAAAAAAAGTAATTGTGCGGTAACCGTCAAAATGGCGCCTTTTTTTTTTTTTTTTGCGCCCGAAGCAATTAAAGGGCTACCCTGTACGTAGGGAGGCGGAAAATGCATTACGCATACCACGATAGCCGGTCTATCGTGGTTATGGGGGACTCACTGTCCTACCGGGGACCCTAAGTGATACCCCCTAAAAACCGCCTTTAGGGACAGGCAACCGGCTGATTAAGCTCTATTGTGCCTTATCATGAGCGACCCTCTTTTGGGAAAAGAGGGCGCAGGCGGCTAAGTGCCGCTGAGGGAGTGCCTACGAAGGCAAATTAATGTCAGATATTACAATAATTTTATTTAATTAGAGTTGGCCTGAGCTGCCAGGAGACAGTTCAGGTCGTTTGAAAGTTTATTAGGCGGGTCCGAGAGAGAGTTTCTCGGCCTGCGGACACGATAGCGAGAGGGGGTGGGGCTGCATAAGAAGCTGCCTCACGAATTAAGTGGTTTGGGTGCGACTCTGAGGCTTTGAAGAAGTTCTCAGAGAGTTTTTTAAGAAATTGCTGAATTGTTGGGAGCTCTAAGTCCCGATGAAGGTCGGCATTGCGGACGTACCACGGTGCGTTCGCAGCTCGACGACAGAATAGGTTCTGAACTATTTGGAGTTCATTTAAAATGTTAGGGTTTGCGTGGGCAAAGACGGGGCCCGCGTAGGACATGACTGGTCGTATACATACCTTATAGAGTGTACGCTTGTTTCGAAGGGACATTTTACTGTGTCGGCCCAACATACTGTTGAGCCTACTCAGATAAAAACGTGCGTGACGGGTTACTCTTTTGACGTGGGGCTTGAAAGTGAGCCCTGTGTCTAGAGTGACACCTAAATATTTGGCGGACGTATGCCAGGGGACAGGGGTCCCTAGCATACGTATTGGTGGAGTGTTTTTGAGACGGCGTCGTTTATAATCGAAGTGAACGGCGGAGCTCTTCTCCGGGTTCACATCGATGCGCCATTTTTTGAACCAAGCTCCTAGGTCATCAACTGACTTTTGGATCTTGTTCCGTATGAAGGGTAGTGAGACACCTTTGCAGTAGATGGCAGTGTCGTCTGCAAAGAGGGAGAGTTGAACACCTTTCGACGGGATGGGAATGTCGTTGGTGAATATGATGTACAGCAGAGGAGCAAGTACTGAGCCCTGAGGGACACCAGCCTTGATAGTTCGCTGTGAAGAGAGCGTGCCTTCGTGTCTGAAACGAAAGGTACGATGTTTTAAATAGGAGGCCACGAGACGAACTAGACGATCGGGGGAGACCTATTTTATAGAGCTTGTAGATAAGGCCTGTGTGCCAGACTCTATCGAAAGCTTTGGCTATATCGAAAAAGACCGCGATGGTCTTATGACGACGAGGATAGAAACCGCTGAGGATATATTCCACAATGCGGTGAACTTGTTGGGGACATGAGTGTTTGGCTCGGAAGCCGAATTGATGGGGAATGATAAGAGGGTCGCCGTCTGTGGGAAACAGGTAGCGCCTCATACGACTTTGGATGACTCTTTCGAAGAGCTTGCCCATTGCCTTGAGGAGGCTAATGGGGCGATGGCTGGAGGGGAGGTTGAGAGGCTTGCCTGGCTTGGGAATTCCAATCACAGTTGCCTCTTTCCACGTAGTGGGAAAATAACTAAGGTTGAAGCAGGCGTTGAAGATAATAGATAGAAGGGTTAACACCTGCTCGGGAAAGTGTTTGAGGGCTTGGTTGGAGATGCCATCCGCGCCCGGAGCCTTTTTAGGCTTAAGTCCTTTGATGAGGGATGAAATCTCATCATTGGACACAGAGATAGGTTCGGAGGCGGTAGGGGGTGAGTTCCGGCGGCGGACCTCATCCTCTACTGCCTGGACGTGTGAGGGGTCAACAGGTTGAGAACTAGGGGAGCATTGATCGGCAATGCTATCCGCAAAGCACTCAGCCTTCTCCTCGTCCTCGAAGGCAACCGTGCCGTCGGGACGGGAGAGAGGGGGAGTGTGGGTGATAGCGTCTATGCGGAGGGCTCTAGCCATCTGATAGTACGCTGTGTGAGATGGAGTGATATTCTCCATGAGCTTACTCTTTTCGAGATCTTGAAATTCAGAGAGGCGGAAGCGGAGTTTTCGTTGAAGACGATTGGCCGCGCGCCTATATTCGGGGGTGGGATATTTTGCTGCTCTCCGGAAAGCAGCTTTTTTGGCTTTTAATAGGTTGCTAATATGTAGGGGAAGCCCACTATTGTTAGCAACCGGGACGACCCTTTCGTTCTCCTTAAGGGAGGATTTAATAAGGGTGGAGAGTGAGTCGACCGCGGTGTCGATTTTTTCGGGACTGTCTAAGTCCGACGGAATGGAGATGGTAGAATCCTGTGAGTCCAGAGCTTTAGCTAGGGACTCCTTGAATCCCTTCCAATTAGTGAAGGTTTTTGTGTGTATTGGGGGAGGTGGCTGATGGCCAAGAATGAGGGAGACCGGTCTGTGATCTGATCCTAGATCGTCTAGTGTCTCGATTGCTCTGAGGTTGAGAGAAACTCCTTGGAGTAACGCAAAATCTAACACATCGGGAGAGTGATCGGTGTTATCGGGAAAGTGAGTAACACCGAGAGGACTATGGACAGTGATATCAAGAGACTGCGTGATATCGAGCAGTATCTTGCCACTAGGGGACGTAGTGCGGCATGTCCATTCAGTATGCTTGGAGTTAAAATCTCCAAACATAATGACTGAATTGCCCAAGGATAAAATGGCTTCAAAATCTTTTTTGAGGGGATAGGTTCCTGAAGGGATGTAACAGGAGGCTATGAGGATGGACTGATGTCCAGTCATAGCTAGCTTGCATACCGTGGCTTCCATATTGGTAAGCTGCGGAGTAGAAATGGGCGAGCAATGAAGTGTCTTCTTGTAATAGATGGCCGTTCCGCCGCCTCGGCGGTCGGGTCTGTCATTACGAAGAAGAGAGAAGTTTCTAATAGAAAGGCCTCTATGTCCTTAGTTTTAAGATTAGTTTCCTGTAGGAGGAGGAAATCGACTTCATGATTTCGAAGAAAGAGCTTTAGCTCTGGGAGGTTATTTCGCAAGCCGCGAATATTGAATGATACAAGCGATAAACCCTTAGGTTTGATACGACCGTGGGATCTTGGTAGGTTAGTATTATTATCAGCCATTGAAGTTAAGTTAATTAAGTTAACTTAACTTACAACAGAGCAAGCAGAAGATCATTGTGTTCCGCAAGAGCGATGAGACGCTCTTGGGGGGACTTCGCCGCGCGCAGTTTGCGTGAGATTACTGTAATCTCCCTAACATCTATATTCCTAATCGTGGAATATAGTGTGTTGTAGTCATCAATTGTGGGCTCTGCCTCGTGTGCGTAAGAGGTTGTCCGCGGAGGGTCTGCCTTTTTGGGCCCCCAGGGAAAGACTGGAGGCTGCATTGGCTTTGAGAAGCCCGGAGGGGGGCCGAATTATGCCCTGAGGGGGCCCAGGGGGACCCTGAGGGGGCCTAGGGGGGCCCTGAGGGGGCCTGGGGGGACCCTGAGAGGGTCGAGGGAAGCCCTGGATAGGCTGAGGAGGGCCCTGGCGGGGCCGTTGTTGGAGGGCCGGGAATGAGCGGTCATTCACCGGCGGTGGAGCTTTCCTACTGGGGCGAGGTTGAGGTGCGCGTGGGCAACCCTTGTAGTTCGCCGGGTGACCTGTCTGGTTGCACAGGACACAGGCGGGCGGGGATTCGGCGTCTTTGGGCCGGGGACACTCTTTGGTGTTATGAGGCTCCAGGCACTTCACGCACCTGGGTGGGGCGGAGCAGTTGGCCGCCGCGTGACCATAGAGCTGGCAGCGGTGGCACTGCGCCGGGAAACCGGGTCTGTGTGGGGGCTCAACCTTCACCCTTGACAGGCCGCACACTGTGCGCACCTGCCGGAAGATGGCTTTCGCCTCCGGCACGTTGGACAGGATTACTAGGGCAAGGTTGTACCTCTTGCCCGTACGGTTGTGCATTTTGTGCACTGCTTCAACCGGGAAGCCTTGGGACTTAAGGTCCTCAAGTATCTCCTCGTTGGAGAACTCAAATGGGACGCCTCGGATGACGGCCCTGACTTTACGCTCTTCGGGGAGAGCGTACGTGTGGTAGGATACCCTTTCGGCTGTGAATAGCCGGGTAATTGAGCGGAAGTCCTCGATGGAGCTAGGGATGATTTTAATGGCCTCCGCGAGGTTGACTGCATGGTCATATTTGATGCCTGCGTCGTAGCAGGTCTTGGATAGCTGGGTGAATTTAGCCTTGTCTCTTAGGAAGACAGGAGGCGGGACTTGGTTCTTCGCCAGCACTGGGGCACAGCGAGAGGCTGGTTTAGATGGGGTAGGGATGTCTAACGACATCAGTGGGACGGGGGCAGCGTCAGGAGCTGCGGAGGTTGATGGAGCGGCAGGGGCCGCTGAAGTAGGGGGGTGCGTTTGATCGCAGCGCGCTTTCCGTTGCGCTTGGAGGTGACCGTGGTGAAGTTGGATTCATCGGTACCTTCGGAGTCAGAGGACTCCGATGAACCGGAGCCTCGGGTAGTGGCGGGCCTCTTCCGAGAGGTAGACGCCGAGGATTCGGAGCATGCGTACTCCATTTCTAAGGGGGCTGTCTGTAGAGGGGCAAAAGAGTTCCTCGTTTCGAGGTATGCCGCTAGTACTGGCGGTGGACGGTGTGCCTGAGGGGCAGGGAGGGGAGCCTGGGCGGCGATGGTGGCCATGGCGGCGAGGACCGTGTCATTGTCGTTTAACCCGTATTGGGTAATGAGGGCGGCCAGGGACTCACTAAG